TATACACTATCTAGATACAGTATCTAGGTACATACACTCATATATGGATGTTTCTATACAAAATACTGATATCCGAAGCCTGGTTGTTTTGTTTTTAAAGGACTGATCAACTAAAAAGCTTCCAGCATCAATATTTAGACACATATTTTTTGTAGTTTGTTGTTTCATTCCATGATTACATTGTGGATATGTGTTTATCAAGCAAACAGCCTTGATATAAGGCTGAGACTCTGTGCAGGTCTTGCAATGAGAGACTCAGTGGTGGAACCTTAGTTTGTTTTTGTGATGGCCTCAGTTTGGTGCATCCTTAGTTTGCAGAATCACAGTCCTAGGGCCAACTTATGGTCTGATCAACTTTGAACAAACACAGTATCAGTCTATACAATTACAAAATAGAACTATATTCTTATAGTTAAAAATATGATCACTTCAAAAGGGCACCTGTGCTATTGCATGTACATGCGTGTTCTACAGTGCATCATACTTTTTGAAACTATCCATCAAAAGTAATATGTATATATATAGTATGCTATGTTTCCTTTCAAGCCCTGGAAATTATCCAAAAGTTGTCAGAGAATACATAACACCAATCCTTGGCATAAACATGTATACGTTTGAGGAAATTAAAGTAGATCAAAGATGGACCATTAGGTTGCTGACAGTAGATTAAACATTGGCAATGACCTTGAACCTGGTTTTCCTTAGGTGAAAGCCTGCCCATGGTTAAACAGTGATGCACTCACAAGCACTTCACTCACAAGCAAGCAAAGCACATTCTGAAAAATGTGTGGACAATAACACTGTGCACTCTTTTGGACAAAAAACTGTGGGTTGGTTGGATGAGTGAATAAATGTGTATGAGAACTGCTGCTGGGATGGAAGGGCAAATGGTGGTGCGAAGGCCTGGAAGTTCGATTGAGGGGCTCAATGAATGTTGAAAACTTGTTGGACTTCAATTGAATGGGATGATTGGAATGTATATATTGCAGTGAGTGATGTTTGGTTGGCATTAACTTTCCTTTCAGAACTAAATAGGTTGCTACCATGAAACGGGCCAGACTGAATTCAACCCGTGGTTGTTCCTAAGCTTGCCACAAGTGCGATTACCTCAGTGTGCCTTAGTGTGACCCTTAGCCCACACATATGCATTATTTCCTGCATGGCCGTGAGTTGGCTTAAGATGAATGAAGTGGATGTTTGAAGCCAAATTCTGAATCCAGTTTTTTGCCACAAACACTGAGGTTTGGAGAGCTCATTAATAACTAATCTTCAGCTTGCATACACAAAGAAATATGAACTGAGAGCATCAATGGGGAGCTTGGCAAATTGACAGGACAAAATGACTTGATGACTAGAAAAGTGTGAATGAAGCTCGAATCAAGGGTGCAATGAGGCAATGTGTGACTGGTGATTGAGAAAGGAGTGTGTGGTGCTGAGGTGTGGCCAGGAAATCTTGAAGATAGAAATAATAGATGGGGTAGGCTTGGAAGGAAATGGCATGAGTTGCAATGGGTTGATGGAGTGAAAATCAATACCCAAACATGAAGCAACCACCATGACAGTGTTTGACACCTAGTCCGTGTTCAACTTGACAACTGGTTTTGTGGGCGATGACCTTAGCATGCCTTAGTGTGAGCCTTAGTCCAGAGTCATGCGCTCTTTCCTGACTGAACTTAGCCCTTTCCAAATTTGACTCTGAGAAGTGTGAGTGGTTGCAATGCAACTGAAGAAAAGAAAGTATATATATATCCAGAGCTGGCACTTTGTTTATTTCTACAGATTGTGCCTCTGGTACTATAGTAAATGTCTGATCAGCGGGGCGAACAACGTGGCCATTTTGGGTCAAGCCCCGCAGTCGAACAGGCCTCCGCTGATTTGTTTTCAGCGGGGGGAGATCTGTTCCGGCGTGGGCACAGGAGCGGCCCCCTGCCGGAAAGCCTCTGACCGTGTTCGGTCCCCCTGGAGGCCGTGGTCGCAGCGGCAGCCAGGGGAGAGGACCCAGTGCAAAACGGGTCGATACATCCCCTCGAAGGGACCGCGCCAAGCTAGGAAGGACAAGCGGTCTGTTCGCGGCTGGCGCATGGTCCGCGAGGGAGGAGATCGCACGCATGATCGAAAATGGAGTCCCTTCGAGCGAAATCCTGGAAGCCATCCGGAGTGGTTCAGAAGGTGACCAGCCCCTGGAGATCCAGGGAGAATCTGAAGAGGCAGATGAGCCAGTGGCGAAGTCCCTGTCAGAGGAGAGGCCACCACGGAGTTCCGGAGTGGTACCTCCTAGTTGGACCACCGAGAAGAAGGCGGAGAAGCCTGCCAAGGTACCCGCCAGCTCAGAGGGCTCTTCCTCAGCCGCTTCGACGCCTCACCTTTCCACTGACCGCTCCTCCCGGGATACTCCCACCTGGGCGACAGGAGTGGCACTTTCGCCTCTGAACTTCGCAAAGAAGGCAGTGTCACCAACTCCTCAAGGTCCGCAGGTGCGAGTCAAAGAGGAAGAGCCTGAGGAGAAACCTGAACCATCGGCAGTTGTGCCAGACTTGGATCCAGGTAGGATCGCCAAGGGCCTGGACGAAGTAGGCATCTTTGGAGGATTCTCAAAGAGAGCTGAAAAGCCGAGCGGGTCCGAGGCCATTCCTTCTCGAGTCGCACCTTATGTCCCTTTAGGCCTTCCCCGCCGGAGCCGTCCCCTCGAAGAAGCCAAGCTCGAGGAGTTCAGGAAGCTCGCAACCCACCTCTTTGAAGAACTCGTGATTCATGAGGTGGAGATGGACCTGGTGGAGACGGTCAGTTCGAGGGATGGCATCATCGACTCCGCGCTCTTCCACAGGTACACGGACCCGAAGTCAGCAGGCACAGCCCTCAGGTATGCGCTCCTCCTGTCACGCTATCTTCAAGCCTACGAGATCAAATATGGGACCCCTTCAGTCACGGGGCCAAAGATCATGGGGCTTGAAGCGATCCAGGCTTTCGTCATCAGCCTGATCGAAGAGGAAGTGGGATTCTATACCCCTCGAAGCTTCCTCTACGCCGTGGAGTACTTTGGAGGCCTTTTCGGGTACCACTCACCAGGAAGTGCCCACCCCCGTGTCCGCAGGCTCTGCACTGACTACGTGGGAAAATCCCCGGAGCGAAGGCCAGCACCATTCTTCGAGATCAGATTCCTGTACTGGCTGGAGACGGTGGTGCTTGACGAGACCCGGGACCTGCAGACTCGCATTGCCTGTGGGAAGCTCCGCCTGTGCACGCAATCCAGCATCCGTCACTCCGACCTGGCAGGCACAGCAATGAGGGACGTTGAATGGTGCCGAATGGTTGGAAGTTCGGGAGTCTTGGGACTCCGCGCCAAAGCAGCATACACCAAGTCCGGCCCCAGGACGTGGGCGGCAAGCCTGTTGGGAGTTCATCCAGACAACGACAAGTGGTTGATTCGATGGGTGGAACTCCTCCTAGTGATGCACGGCCATGATTGGCGTACCCATTCCTTCGTCGGGAGGGCAGCAGGGAAATCGGAAGGGTGGGAGCTCTATCCACCCTTGATCTCTGAAGACACCCTGACAGTGAAGCATGCGCTTCTCGCCGACATCGATGGAGGGAACCAGAACATCATGCCCAGGGAGCAGGCGTTGCGCCTGAGGTGGCACAGCTGCAAGACGACCATGCCACACCTATATATGACCCACTTCAAAGTCACCACCAGGACGGTGAGGTTCCAGGGAGCCTGGAAGGACCCGGCAGAACTCATGCCAGACCTGTACCTCCGCGAATCTCAGATTTTGGTTCTGAAGGCGCAGATTGAGGTGCTTGATCAAATCCGCCGAGGGGCGGTGATTCAAACCCTGGAGGGCCAGGAGCTTGACTCCATGCGACAGCCCGATTGGGCCACGGTCGAGACCCTCGAAGAGGAGAACAGGCTGCCTGAGACCGGCGGGGAGGGTTCGGGAGCGGAAGCCATGAGGCGCGCCATTGTCTGCACGGAGGATCGACAGGGAGAGCGCAGGATCAGCAGTGACTGCGCAGTCCCTGTTACCGAACTCCCGCCTGCGCTACGTGGGACTGGTGCAGAGGACCTGGAGGAGTTGGAGGTCACCCTGGGAAAGGAAAGAGATGCGGCCGCCAATTACTACAAAGACCACCCGATCGAGCACGTTGAGACATCGCCCAATGCCGTCGAGTGGGGGCCTGATTCTGATGACAGTGAGGGCGACCCTGCAACAACGGACCTAGAGATGCACCACACCTTTGTGCAACTCGCCTCGGGAGCTGGAAAGATCCATAAACCCTCAGTCGGGGACGAACACATGCCAAGGTGTGGGAGCCAGGGTTCAAGGTTCGCGGAACTCGGCGTGGACCACAGCTGGGGCGTGAACTACAAGCTCTGCAACAAGTGCTTTGGAAAAAATGCAGAAGCATCCACGTGCCCCTTGCTGTGTGACTTCGTGCTGAAGAAGGGGGGCAAGGTTGTGCTACGTTGCGGACGACGATGCAGAGGCGATCAGGTAGAAGGACATCTGAACCCCAGTGAGCAGGGCTTTGATCCAGCGAGTAGGCACAGGTGCACCTTGCACAGTGAAGAGGTGCTAGAGGAGGATCTATAGGCTGACCAATATGATGTGATGCAAAAATTAGGGTGCCAGGGTGATTGTTTAAACCATGTAGCCATGCAACCCAGTTCGCAAGAGTTCATGCAATGCTGGAGCGTCCATTGGGGATCCATGTCCTTTCGTATGGACGTGACGGGTGCACCTCTATTGTAGACGCATGTGCCGATGCCCCAATGAGTGGATCAAACACCCACGTCCCCGAACCCGGGAGTCCTGCCAACATGGCGGATGCCAAGTCTGCTCTGGCCTTCGGACGAGCTGCCGTCAGCTTCGAGGTCCATGAGAGTGACTTCCTGGTCATGGCCGCGGACAAGATAAGTGCGTTCGAGGCCATGGCATACCGCTTTCCTGCCAGCGCTGATCTTGAGGATTACCTCAAGAAGGTGCTGCGGAAGAGGGCGGCGTATCGCGACGACAATGGCGAGATTGTGGTCTATGACAAGCCGACGATCCTCTCTTGGGATGACTACAAGTCGGAGCCGGACACGGGCTGCCTGAGGAAGCTCTGTGGACTGTCCACCCAGGTGGCCAAGCGCCATCTGGAGAGGCTGGCAGGAGAAGAAGGCGAGGGAAAGACGAAGATCACCCTGGCCCATGCTCAGGAGCTCGAGGACAAGGCAGTTGAGACCGGCATGCCAGAGGCGACGTCCGATCGAGAGAGGCCTTCATTGCATACACTCACCAAGGTGCAGGCGACCTTCATGCCGAACGGGACCTTCCAGCACTTGGCTTGGGAGTCGTACGTGTCCATGGAGGTCGAAGCGAGG